AACTCATAGCGACCCTATAGGACAGAGTAGAACTGCCCCATAGGGTTTCCAAGGAGCAGCTGGTGGATTTGAACTGCTGACCTTTTGGTTAGCAGCTGAACTCTTAACCACTGTGCCACCAGGGCTAACAAAGTTCCAATGATATAAATACTAACATGGGACCTACAGTTGAGAATAACTCACAAGTATAATTTTCCGTTTAATACCTAATATTATAGTATTTATAAATACAGTGCAACAAAATGAAATAAGTCGGTACTATGTTAGTGAAATAATAATAGTAACAACAATGTCGCTAATATTGAGACATTTATAAGCACGTATAATATGATCCTATTCTAGGAACTTTTCATGTAGTAATTTAATTCTTACAGTAGGCACTATTAAGCTCTCCATTTTTTTTTTTTTTTAGATGAGAAAAGTGCAGCACAGAACAGTTTTTGAATTTAGTTTAATGCACAGTTTTTTAACCTCAGCACTATTGTCATTTTGGGCCAGATAATTCTTTGTTGTGGGGGAACTGCCCTGTGCATTGTGCAATGGTTAGTAGCATCCCTGGTCTCTACCCATTAGATGCCAGTAGTAGCAGATACCCAATTGTGACAACCTAAAATGTCTGGCAACCAACCAACTAGTTGCCACTCTCTCAACAGCAGGTCATAGAGAGGCAGTTCCAAACACAGTGAATTAAATTCAGACTCACGGCTACCCATGTGTGTCAAAGTAGAACTGTGTTCCGTAGCATTTTCAGTGGCTGATTTTTTGGAAGTAGATCGCTAGGCCTTTCTTCCAAGGCATCTCTGGCTAAACTCCAACCTTTCAGTTAGCAGCCAAGTGCATTAACCATTTTTACAACCCAAGGACTCCAGCATGTCTGCAGACACTGGCAGGCAGGGAAGGTGGGGTAACATCAGCTCCAGAATGAGACCACTGCTTTAAATGAATTATTCATATCCTCCTCCCGCTACCAAGAACAAAACCACAACCACAGCAGCAGCAACAAAACTGTATTGATTTCATCAGTGCCTTTAAAAATCCTCAAGGAAACTGAGAAATTCTCTGGTCATCTTCAAATTAGTCTTCAGGAGCATCCACTGTGGTTGAGAATAAAAGTAACTTTTCTGCTGAAAGTTTGCTCTAGGAAAAACAGAGTATCTGCTCGGGGCAAATTGGAACAACTGCCTGTAAGACCGGAGCCCTGGTGGCGCAGTGGTTAAGAGCTCTGCGGCTAACCAAAAGGTTGGCAGTTTGAATCCCCCGGCTGCTCCTTGGAAACACTATGGGGCAGTTCTAGTCTGTCCCGTAAGGTCACTATGAGTGAGAATCTGCTCGACGGCAACAAGTTTGGTTTACCTGTAGGACCACATAACCCAATAGCTTGTTGTTATCAAGTTGGTTTGGATGTTAATCTGCAAGAGGCTCATGGCAAAAGAGACTGGGCCTTGGCCTCTTATAGCTCCTTTAATGGACGATAACTTGTGTGACTATCATGTTGCTTGCTGATACTTATCGCTGACATTGCCAATTACAACTCCAGGAGAACTGATACTCTGAACTTACAATGAAGCAAAATGAATGAATCCAGAAAGCCACCCAATTGTCATAGAGGAATTAAGAGCAGAATCATGTGAAACCATCTCAAAATGCTATTTAAATTCTCGTATTTCTATAAGATTATATTGTGAAGCATTAGCATCTGAATAAATTATTTATTCATAAATTATTAAAGACCCAGTACTGGAAAGATTTTCCAGTCTAATTTGTACCACAAAAGTGCATCATTCCATGTCTCCGTCTTTCAAAATGCCAAAATTTTCTTAAATTTTCTTTATGCTTTAAACCCTGAAGATATTAGGTGATATCTGGCCACATTAGGGCTTTAATGAAAATAAGTCCTATCGCACTTCTGCTTTTTCATTAATCTAGGACCTATATTATTTTAATTCTTCTTTTAAATGAGGATTACATCAACATTGCAGTTCTGAGTATTATCCAAGCAATCATAATCTCCTTAATCCTTAGCAGATGTAGTGAGATTTTTTTCCTTCTTGTACCTTGGATTTTCTCTGTGTTACCTTAACATTAGTCAAATCTGATGTAAACCTTCACAATTTCCATGCAATATCTATACTGAGTTTACCGCTGCTTGTAAGCAGCAGTAAAGAACAAACTTTCATGCTTGTAAATGTGTTGACTGTGTGACTAACTGCTAGGATTTACACACTCTGCCTTTTATTACGGTAATAGTTATCTTTTTTTTTTTTTTTTGCTGTAAGTGCAATGAAGCAACTAGAATGTTACAGAGAAAACTGGCACCTCTCTCTGGTTCACTGTAAAATATCACCCATCCGCCTATACACTTTTCATTTATTGTGAAAGCTTAATGATGAAAAGGACAAGGGGAAACAATACTTGTTATCTAAACATTACAAAAATGAGATTCAAGTATGGAAGCTCCATACAACTGGGGAAAAAAATCTTAAATGGATTGTATTTGCTTCCCTTTTTGCATCACTGAAAGATATGTCTAACTCTTAATCTCTGTTTATTAATATATAAAAAGCTATAGCTGAAAGATTTATCAAACTCTAGCTGGTCATGATATAAAAGGTTATGGCTGCTCTGCTTTTAGGAAGATAAGCACAAGGACTGCATAAAGCCCACTGATGCATACATTGTAGCACTCCAGGGCTGTAATAAATTTCATATCCTCTGTTTCTGCCAAGTTGTTTTAAATCTCTATATGCTACTGTGTAAGCTTGGCTTCTTTGTGCAGTTGAATAGACGGATATCTGCAAATTGGCTACCATATTCCCATGTCCTCATGTAGAATAATCTATACAGGCAGTCCCAGGATTCCAAACAAGTTCCTTTCCTAAATCTGTCTCTAAATCTAATTTGTGCATAAATCAGAACAGTTAGGTACGGTTCCATATGTAACATCGGTTAGAATGTTTGTCTTAGAATACAGCATATAGTGTACCTTTCTGTGCATAAAAAACATTGAACACTTCCAGATACACTAAAACTTCTTTAACACAGTAATACAGTAATAATAATAAGGCTATTTTGATGCACGTCCCCAAGTTGTATCTGTTTGTTATTACGAACCATTGTATGTGCCTCAGATTTTTAATATAAGAGGCTTTATAGGGGTTGGTTCGTAATTACAGGTTGTATATAAGTAGGACGTTCGTAACCCGGGGAACTGCCTGTAATCACATTTTCACACATACTCAAATACTTCTATGAAGGATCTAAGACAAGTTCACAAATTGAAGTTCTGTGTCTTTGGGAAGACAAATACTGAATTTGGTTTTTCAGCCTGTTAAGTAAACACACACTGTGTTTTACTTGTTAACAAGACAAAGATGAGAGGCTCTGTCAGATCTCTTTGAATTAATCTCCTGAATGTGTTTCATTTGCAGACCACAGATGACATCCTTGTGGCCTCAGCAGAGTGTCCCAGCGATGACGAGGACATTGACCCCTGTGAGCCGAGCTCAGGTGGGTTAGGTTAGTCGCCTTTTTTTCTTACTTCTTTTGCTTTACTGTAAATCTTTGTTGCATGCCATATTCCTTCAGTGGGGTTTGCACTGATGTCCAGAATGCCACATTAGATAAGGGTCCTTGCTTTTTATGTGAAAAAAATGTCCTACATTTACTAAAAGAAAAGAATCAAAAAACAAAAACCATCGAGGTTACATATTTCATGAAAAGCAGTAGGGATGGCACACAGAGGGCTGCTACCTTACTGTTCTCTTTCCATCAGCTCACAACATAATTTTTATGTATAACGGCATAATAGGCTTTCCCTTAGGTTACTTGTAGTAAAATTGCAAAGCCCCAAAATTGCAGTGCCATGTGGAAAATTATTTGACCCTTTCTCCTGACGAAAAGTCCCTACCACTCACTCTGCCAGCAAATTAGCTTAAGTGATATACTTCTGAATTCCGGAAGTAAGCGTATTATGGCAATAGTAAAACAAACAGCAGGTAGAGTCCTTGAAACATTTAACAAAGAAATATTTGCGTCTTGCTAAGGCTCCCTAAAATTCGAACCGATGCATTTTCTCTCTAGTAGATACATGATTTCTCCTTCTTGCCTGTGAGATGCCAGCATCTCATCTGGTGCGTCTGGCTAGTACAGAAGCCCTGTTTCCATACATCCCTGTACCATTAAGTGGTGACCGCAGATCCTGTTTGATTCCAAACATTCGTAATACCACATATTAAGGTCCTTCCCATTGGTTTCCTTTATAAAGCAGTGTTTCGTAAGGTTCAATAACTGTCTTGTGAGGTAGATGTATCAATTAGTTCATGACCTCTGTAGATGTCACCTGGAACCCTACAGACACTTCATGTCACAATAAAATAACTCATTTGCATTCCTGTTATAAATACCATTTTAAAGTAAATCTACTCATTCTGATATTTTGGTACCAAATGGGTCATGTTGCGTATCTTGTGTATCTCTTTGACTATCTCTTCTCCCTGCTGATAATGGCTACTTACAAGACTTAGCACTGAGAGCAGGTGCTGAGTCCCAGTGAGGAGCGGACACTCAGCAGTTACCTCTTGGCAGGATAGCATTCAGGAGATGCAAGCTGAGCATATCTCTTCCTCTTTCCTCCAGCCTCAGCTCACCCCTCAAGACTCTCAGGCCCCAGAATCATCTGTTATATACAGTTGTTCGGTCTCTGACTGTCATCCATTCCTTTCCCCCAGATCGTTAATCTCCCTAGCCTTTCCCTCTCATTCATCTAGATACTTCATGATACCGTTCTGGGCCCCTTTTCCATGACCCTGTCTCTGTTTTCACTGATATTCTCACTCTGTCTCTGTTAATCAAAAAAGATGATTGCTTTGGCCCTTTTTGTTCATTTATGGCAGTCACATCTCTTTACCTTCTTCCTCCTTGAAATTTCCTCTTTCCCCATTTCTCCTATGTTCCCAATCATCTCTGCTCTGAAGTCACCCATTACTGCATACCAGCGTGTTGAACTGTCCTTTCTGTTCCTTTCATTGCCAACAACAACCCTCTCTGAACCTCCAGTCTAGTTCTGTATTGCCCTATCTTTCTGGACACTGGAGACATGTCAATTTATGGTTTTCAGATAACCTGATGCCTCTAAGTGACAACCATGTTCATGGTGACCAATTCAAAATAGGATTATTCTTTAGTGAATTCTGGGTTCAGACTTGCATATGACTATTCTCTGAGGTTTAGTGGTCTGAGTGGCTCTGGGCAGTGAGGCAAGAAAGCCTCATGGTTAGGAGTGAGGGCAGTAAGAGAAGGAAGTCAAATTATTTTTATTTGTATTAACAGTTGGAAGGAACTATGTAAATTTCCATTCTTATAATTAATAATATCAAGCAAATATATAAAAAAATTGTGCTGACATTTGAAAGGAAGTTAAATTTTTATAATTATTATCAACATAGTTATTTAACTTCTCATGAAACATTGTATAGAAGCCTACAACCTGAAGTTTAAGTTAGAGCCTAGATTTGTTTTGCAAGGTTTCCCTCCCATTTTCGGGCCGAGACTAGAACCTGAACTAGCTGGCTGTTTTCATTCATTCATTCATGTATTCAACAAGTATTTATTGTGCACTTACCATATATTAGATGCAAGAGATCCTGCTTTGAAAAAGATAGACAATGTCCTTGCCCTCATGGAATTCAGAATCTAGAGGTGCAAACACAGAGAGAAAGCATTCAGTTTCCAATACAAAGTCACAGATGATACACTAGTGGAAGTGCAGAGTACTGTTGAAATGATTGCAGGAGAACTCAACCCACTCTTGGTGAGCAGGGCTGGCACTCAGAAAAAAAGTCTTCAAATTTATGCCTAAAGGTGATTTATGGTTGGCCAGCTTGGAGGGTGTGGTTCTGGAGAAGGTAGAGGGGGCAGGATTTTAGGCAGAATAGCAGTGTGTATGAATGTCCAAAGATGAGAAGGAACATGGCACTTCCTGAGAAACAGAGAAGCTCATGTGCGTGAGGTTCAGAGGCAAATCAAGTAATGCCCTTGACAGCCATACTGAGGAGTTGGTTTTATCCTGAGCACGCTGGGAACACAACACAAGGTCTTATTGGGACAGGACTAGAACTGGTGGCTGCAGTGTAGATAATGGAATAAAGGGAGATAAGAGTGGAGATAGGAGACAAGACAGCTAGCTAGGAGGCTATTGCAGTAATCCAAAGAGAGATGATGATGGTGTGGAATAATGTAGAAGCAGTAAGAATAAAAAACATGAACATGGAATTAAGAGACATTTAGGAGGTGTAATTTATAAGGTTTGATAGTAGAATGGAGGCGTGGGAGAGGGAGAAGGCGAAGATAATTCCCTGGTTTGGAGCTTGGACATCTGCATGAAGGATCACACATACGTTAGCAATGTAGGGATGGGGTGGCATAAAGAGCTCAGTCAGGAAGAACACTGCCTGGAACTTAAGCTTTGCCATGGATTGTGTGCAAGTGAATGGGGAAAGAGGTAGCAGATGGGCAGGAGAGGAAAGGAGTGTGGATACTCCACACAGAAATTAACTCATCAATCCTGCAAAATATACTGTGCAACTTAAAAAAAAAAAAAAACTTACTTAATTTATCCATCTACCTCTACCATGACTAGACATGTAGACATGGACAGAAACTTAGGTAATTCATTTAATTTCTCTTGGCCATATTTGTGTGTATGTGTGAGTTTGTGTGTGTTGTAGAATTTATTGTAGGTTTTCTCAGCTAAAAATTTTGTTGTTATACAATTTTAAATGTACATTAGCTACACGGATTAAAAGTGTTAAGGGTTTATGAGTGGGTGCCATCCCTTAGCTAACTGATTCTTTGTTGGATAGAGTGGAGAGGAGAGTTTGGTCCAGGCATAGGGGGCATGAATCTGACTGGCAGGGTCAGCTCTAGGGCACTGGTGTAACCCCTCTGAGGGGAAGAATCCAGAAACTCAGGACTAGCTTCACCCACATTTCCATCCTGCCCAGGGCCCATCCTTGTTCCTCTTCCTCCTCTTTTATATAACTGTGGCCCAAAGAGATGAGTCAGGGGAGGCGAGGGCATCTGTCTCCTGGCTTCTAAGCTGAAGCAAGATGAAGGCAATGACTTTCCTAATTAAGGATTCTCACCTGTGGTGCCAGGTAGTCAGCTCAGGAAGAGACAGCAGAAATGTGGCACTTGGCACTGGCTGAGTCTCCCACAAGCTGAGTAGAGCAGTTGATTGAGCGATGACTTGAAAGGCACGAAGGTCAGGAAGAAGGGACGCCTGCAGCAGGCAGGGGCTGGGCATGCTCACGTCAGCACCCCTCTAATCGGTGTGTGGTCAGGCTCTTGACTCTGGGGAGCAAATACTGAAACATCTCCAAAGTGTCTTGTGTTTTTAGCATTACATGCAAATCGATACCCTACTGCAAGAGGAGATGCCATTGTTTCTGGTGTTAATCCTGCTCCACCCCAGGTCATTCTTCTCTGTAGCTGATCTCTGAGATCCTCCAGCATGGATTGCTCATATAATATAGTCTGAAGTCTGGTGTTTGTACAGTAAGGTATACATACACACGCACACAGAAGTGCATGTGTGTGTGTATTTATATATATATATATATAGAGAGAGAGAGAGAGAGCCCTGGTGGCGCAGTGGTTAAGAGCTCAGCTGCTAACCAAAAGGTCTACCGTCAAATCCACCAGCTGTTCCTTGGAAACCCTATGGGGCAGTTCTACTTACTCTGTCCTACAGGGTCGTTATGAGTCAAAATCGACTTGATAGTAATGTTTTATATGTGTTTATATACATATATATGTGTGTGTGTGTGTGTTTATATATATATGTGTTTATATATACATATAGTCAGTTACTGTCAAGTCAGTTCCAGCTCGTGGTGACCCCATGTGTGTCAGAGTAGAACTGTGCTCTATAGGATTTTCAATGGCTGATTTTTCAGAAGTAGATCACCAGGCCTGTCTTCCAGTGTGCCTCTGGGTGGACTCGAACTTCCGACCTTTTGGTTAGCAGCTGAACACATGAACCATCTGCACCACCCAGGGATATGTATTTCTATTTACATTTGTATTATTTATATTTATACTTTTATATTTAAATCTGACTTTTTCCCAATTAGTGTTTTCTTAAGGGCAGTCGATTTTTTTCAGTATTTCCCGTAGTATCATCACAGTGCTGAAAACAGTATAGGCTCTTACTAATTACTTGCAAAAGAAGCCTGAATCCCTCTTCCACTGTCTGAGTCTGGGCTCATCTTCTTTCTGTGGAGTCCTCACCTTGAGTACCCAGCAAATCCAGTGTAAGAACTCTAACTGCACTCAAAAGAGTCTTGATCTCAGCTAAATGCTCCAGTTCTTCTAGCCATTGTTTGCCCATGTTAGTAAGCCTTCCTTATACTCTTGGTTACTGTCTCTCTCTTTCTCTGCGCACACTGACCCTACAAACCTGACGGTAGTGGGGAGGAGAGAGAGAAAGGAGGAGAGAGAAAGAGAGA